CATAGGAAATTCCCACTGGAGAGAATCCCAACAATGTGCATTTATAAAAGAGCGTACCCAGATAGTTGCCATGGTATCACAAGTCAAGCTTGGGGCAGATGGAGCAGGCAAGTGGTATGGAAAAGAGCTGCCCTCTGAGGTCTATGGAGCACAGCCTTAAGAAGCACTGGAATCTTCTAGGAGGGTAACTGGGACAGGGGATGGGAGTTTAAATTGCATATGTATGTTTTTAAAGTGGTTGCTTGTCTTTATTGGTGTCAATCACAGAGACAAGTGTGTCATCCACAGTCCATAGCAGATATCTTTGATGCCCCCATTACCTCTTTTGTTGGTGATGAGGTGGGACTTTCCAGGTCCACTGTGAAGGGCTAATGTGGAACAGAGTTCCCACTGGTTACTTGTGTCTATTTTATTTCCTCTCTCATCACCACAACTAACCTGCCCCTGTGAAAAGAGGAGGGGGCTATCTGCAGTGGGATGGGAAGCCCAAAATGAAAGCCACCTGAGAGAGGCTGGCTCACTACCCAAATTAATTGTGGCATTAGAAGATTTTATAATGAAAGACGTATGCTAGTTTGTCATGTGCCGGTCACTGGGGAGCTAAGAGGAGCCCGGAGGAAAGTGGAGTCAGATCATAGTAATCAATATAAACCATGCTAAGGCCTGGGCTTCCCACTGAAGGATTTTGGGTTGGGAATAGCAAGTCAGACCACACGCAAGGAAAGGATAAGGCCCGGGTGAGTTTGTAACTGTGTGGATTGTCAGCAGAGGGCCTTTTGTAGAGCTGAGCTGACAGACCAGGATGCAGGAGACTCCTCGGTGCAACACTCGGTTCCGACTCTGAGGTGAGGATCCTCTGAGGGATAAGCATGGTGATTCTCCCAAACTGGTTGGTTACCGAGATGATTTATGGAGAATTAGGGCTAGATTGAGGGAGTATGTGATGGGGAGGCAGAAAGGCAAGGGATGGATGGATGTCAGGAGAAGAGAATTCTGGGAGTGCTCAAGGCAGGTAGGAGAATTTTCTGGGTGGTGTGTCCGGTGGGTAGGTGTTGATGAAAGCTCCATCAGTGGGCCTTGGGAACACAGAGGGGCATGGGACAAATGGACTTTTGAACTGAGACTTGATCTCAGAGCAGATCACCTATCAGACTCACCTTGGGGTTTTATTAGGGGGAGTAGCTCCATGCAGACAGCCCGGGTACCAAAAAAGTTTGTTTTCATTGCTGCTTCTGCTTGAATGTAAAAGTGGATCAGATCAGTGCCTTTAGGGGAGAAAGAACAGCAATAGAGAGCAGTCATCAGTCAGAACTTGATACAATGGTGGACCTGAAGTCTGGTTAGGTAAGTCCTACTATGGTGATATTTTATTTGTACTAAAATGTTATTTGTATGTTAATAAATAAAGTTGCCCAGGGGTCAGAGCTATTGGCAAGCCATAGGAAAGCTGGACAGTGGTGGTGCACACCTTTAATCCCAGCACTTGGTAGGTAGAGCTAGGTAGATCTCTGTGTGT